GCAAGATGGGGCTACCGAAAAATAAGGTTGCGGTTTCTATATCCTAGTGGGTTACACTAGCTACAGCATTCAGTTCACACCACAATTTGGCCCTTCATAGAGTACCACTGAGCATTGCAAACATTCACCACAGCACTAGCCTCATCCAACTCTGCTTTAAGTAAATACAGTTCTCTGCTTCTGGATATGTTTGTACCTTTTTAAAAAAAATTACAAATTCATCTTTGGAAGGCAAGACAGATTAATCTTTCTGGGATGAATTACTCTTTATTATTTGCTATATTATATTATTTTCTATATTATGATAATCCATCATAGATTCATCTCTCATATATCTATCCCCACCAGTATTTGCAACACCTCTCATTTTTTAGGATGATCTGTGGGTTTAATTAACATACCATTTACTTTCTTCTTCCAGATCATTAATGTCATTATTAAATAAGAGCAGGTCCAACAATTGCCCCAAGACACTCTGATTGGCAGTTTCTCCTAACGAGATGCGTTCAAAGCCAATCTGCTGTCTTCTATTTATGTCCTTTAAAATACATTTTAAATCCATCAGAGGCTGCTTTATATCTGAATGCAATTAAAAAGAATTAGTTTTTTCACGTAAGACTTTCAGACTTGTATAAAATAATTTACCGTGGAACAAATTTTGATCAGATGCTATAAAGGTTTGATGGGTCTTCTCTTTTAAATCAATAACACCACTAGAGGGAGAAGACTTGGTCTTTATTACAAAGGCTTTCCTTTACACCCTGCCTGGTCCAGCCCTTGTTCATTTAATTACATCCTTTCAGAGAGTCCACAGCTTATGTCTGCTCATTTGCTCCTTTCACTCGTCTCTTCCCTCAGCCCTGATTCTTGCAGCACAATTAATGTAAGATTTCATCTTATGAATATCCATTCCTCATTCTTTCAAAACAAAAGCCACTGGGTGATGCCAAAGCAAAATAACTTTCCCTATCAGATACACCAGCATGGGGAACATTGGTTTTTAAAAACACATCTGTAAAAGACAAGCTTGATCCACAAAGAAAGGAGGCTGGGATGGAACAAATAGATAATATTTTAAAGTATCTACTCTGGGCTGAATGTTTGAAGGGGATGGTGGCTCCATCTCCCTGGGAATGTATATACTTTGCATTGTTTGAGGGTGGAGTGCATATGTATATACATGTCTACATGCTTCATCATGCAAATGTCAGTTTCAAAATTTAAAACACCTGGTGATTTAAATCCCTACCAGGCATCCCTTGACAAACCTCCATGGTTTCTCCTGTGGTACCTTTGGGAACTGTGGTTCTGAGAAAGCCCTTTCTCTCCCAGAAAGTGTTCAGAAATCTAACATAAGGACTTTCCCAAACATTCATACTGCAAATGGTATAAATGGCATTGCACAGGTGATGCTGGTATTTGTGTGTTGCTCAGAAATCAGACAATTCCTCTTCAGCTAATTATGGGAAATAAAAGGAAGAGAAAAGAGGAAGAGCAGAAGAAGAAAATGGGGGGGAAGGATGAGGGCAGAAGAGCGGGGATTTTGACAGAGTCTGCAAAAGAATTAGTGCAGGGTATGAGTTTTCACTGCTATTAATACACATTTTTATTACGAGTCAGGCACCCTTTCTATGAAACTTTTGCTCCATTTGCAACCAAGGAATATATTTGAAGGTAGTGTCCCACTTTTACAGCTTTGCTGTCAACACTCATCAGTCCCAACAAACATGTCCAATATTAGGTGTCGACACATGGTCAGAACTTGATTATTTGAACCCTTACTCAACCTCAATAAATAGGTTGCCCTCCCTTATAGCTGTATTTCATTTAAACCAGTATCCTCCCCACAGCTAGAAGACTGTGGCTTCCCAATCACCAATCCCTGTAATTGCCACATCTGTCCAGGACCCACTTTCAAAAAAGACAATATCCCTCCCACCCGGTGTTGGGTGAAATTCAGTGCATGTTGCTCCACAGACGGAAGGCATCCATCAGCAGAACATGGAAGGAAACCATTTTTGGCAATTCATCCTTTCCCTGAAACTTCTTACATCCCCCACAAAAATCTGCTCCAGAGGATTCCCAAACCATGTAGGGCGAGGAGCAATTGGAGGAGGGGGTACAGGATGGGAAAGGAATTGCTGAAAGGGCCCTTCCTCCTTCTTCCACTGACAAGATATATTCCATCAGTGAACCAACACCCACTGGATTCCACCCACCACTCAAGGGGAAAGCTATTAATGTCCCCAACCCAATTTGAATTGAGGTTTCCACATTGTTAATATATGACAGCATATTTCAATGGGAAGAGAGAAGCTTGCTTCCTGGTTTCATACGGTGGAAAATTTTCTGTGCCCATTTGAAACAAAGTGGAACAACTTTCTAGTCAACCCAGTATGTATCTTGTTGATTCGATATGCACCACCCTTTTCTTTCTGTAAGCTTATAGTGTTTTATTTTAATTAATTATTAATTCACTATCTTCCCTTTAAATAAGCAGTGCTTGGGAGCCAATAGCTACAATTATTAATTGATGAAAGGACAATTAGGGCTAATCAATCTGGCATCCTCAGAAAGAGCACCAACTCTACTGCTGCCAGGATGAGTGTTCTTCACCTACAGCTTTTGTGCAAACATCTCAGTTGCATGTCAACATCAGGCAGCACTTTAGAGAATACTACAGGAGACTCCAGGTTACTTTGCAGCCACTAATAAAAAATTTGCTACCATAAATGCTGAATAATACATCACACTAATCTGATTGCTATTGACTGCTAGAGTTGCATGTATGACCTTGGGCATACATTAATCAAAGAGGATGCTGTGTGTCTTTTCTCCATTTGATATCCTGTGGGGATAAGCAAATTGCATCAGTAGTGTTCCCTATGTTTCTTTGAATCCCATTTGCTATCAAACAACAGGTAGGCATTGGTGTTTGGTGATAACTTAGTGACTCCACAAAAAACGCTTTCTGTTTTCTTTCCCAGCTTGGTCCTATACCTGTCTAAAGTAAAATAATTGTTAATTCATTACTACGTCTATATCTCACCTTTCCTCCAAGGAGCTCAAGGTGGCAAACAAAGTTCTCCCCATCCCCTTTTTATTCTCACAACAACGACATGAGTTAGGCTAGGCTGAGAGACCCAGTGAACTTCATTTTATGAAAGGGGATTTGAACCCTTGTCTCCAGTAAGTGGTCCACCATAACGCCACACTAACAGTGCACTCTTGAGTAAGTGTACATGGGGTTTCAACCTATGAACTGGAGCACTCTATTTACTTAAGGCATTTATATGCTGCCCCTCTATCCAATTTTGGCGTATGGGGTGTTAAAATAACATAATTAAGGTGGGTCATAAAAATATACATCTCAAGTGTCAGGGACTGCCTCTCATTAAAAAGGAAAAAGATGTGAGATGCTTTGGGAGACAAAAAGTGTCCAGAAGATGAGATTTAATATATTACATAAATAAATAAACATCTCCGTGCTTCCAGCGCTGTGTGTTAAGGTGCACTATGCATTGTACACACTTCATTACTCATGCAAGGCACATCAGTACAAAGGTATAGCAACCAGTTCCTCGCCGTAGCTTTCGCCATTAACGAATTGTGGTCATATAGGGAATGACTAGTAATTTGCACAGAGAAAATTAGATGGGAGTTGATTTACCTGCACTCTTTATTCGTGCAGTTAGGGGAGTTTTAAATTATTTCAAGTCATTGCCTCTGATCCATGCATCAAACCACAGATAGGTCGCAAGTTTCTCTTCACCCATTTCATAACCCGAAACCCTATAATTTTGTCAAGCTTGCTACCAGTATAGGCATTGAAACCCATGAAAATTCATGAAGAGCATTTTGTGAGGCCAGGGAAGGCATGTCTCCGTGAGGGCCTCTATTACCACAAAGGATTAATAAATCAAACATAAGCTGCTGCCCTCTGTACCCTTCCAAAGCTGTCTGTGAAATCTGGGCAAACTTCAGGCAGTTTCAAGGGGCTCCTGTGTCCTGAAGTTCAGTTGATGAGAAGGACAGTTTTATCCATGGAAGTTCTTCCTGTGTAACAACTTTCACTGATACCCAAGACGGCATTGTGTGCTCCCATCCTCAGCACCCACTTACCAGCTGGACTTACATTCTGCTCTTGTTCCACTTTCCTATCCCTTCCCCTCAAAAACACAACCATGTTGCAAGGCTCAACACTGATAATAGAGAGAACTTTCCCCCTTCCCTCCCCCCAAAAAAAATCCACTCTGTTTTTCTGAGGGTCTCACACAAACATTCATGCATTTTTTTTCACTCTTAACTATTACAATTCATTCATTCAACCTTGGGAATGTAGAAAGCTGCCACTATGTAAGATCATTAGCAGTGGGTCTCCAGGGTTTCAGGTACAGGCAGGGGACAGCCTGGATAGCTCAGTCGGTTAGAGCATGGTTCTCATAACACCATGGTTTCAGGCTTGATCCTTGTATGGGGCAGCTGCATATGCCTGCAGTGCAAGGGGTTGCACTAGAGCAGTGGGGGCGAATCTTTTAGAGACTGAGTGCCCAAACTGCAAACCAAAACCCACCTTTTTATCGCAAAGTGCCCAGAGTTGTTGAGCTTTCCATTGAGCTTTTTTGGGGGGGGTCCCCAAAGTTGTTGAGCTGCTGAACCAAAGTTTTGGAGCTTTTGGGGGGGTCACAAAAGTTGCTTTGCTTTTTTTGCGGGGGGGGGGGGTGCCCCAAAGCTGCTGAGCTTTTTTGCAGGGGAGAGAGAACAGAAATAAATGACCAATAATACCATCACTGGAACTAACACGCAGCACCAACGTCATCATCTACCAAAGTGCCAAAAAAATCAGCACAATAAGGATTAAAAAATCAATGCTGCTACGCCCAATCAGAAACAGCCAATGACGCAGCAAATTGAAAATCAGATCAATTGCCAAACACAATCTCCGGCTACCAGCAAAAAAAGGGGGGTACTGGGTTTCAACAGTGGACACAAGTTGTAGCATTGGGGGTGGGGTTGGGAGAACAAATGGGGGGAACACTGTGGATGTGCCGATGGTGCGCGTGCCAGCATTGAGGGCTATGATTGCCAAGTGTGGCACGTGTGCCATAGATTTGTCACCGCTGCACTAGAGGATCCTCAGGGTCACTTCCAACTCTATGATTCTATGACTTTCCCAACTCTACCTGGAGATACCAAGGATTGAAGCTGGAACCTTTGGCATGCAGAGCATATGCTCTGCCACTGAGCTGTGGCCCTTTCCCATATGAAGAACCATCATCTGGGAACCTTTTCAGAATTATTTCAGCTGAGCATGATCCTATTTGCTCTTTTGAAATAAACTTCTTAGAGCTGCTAGAGCATTTATTCGCCAATAGGCAAGGAATGTGAAACCTCAAGCCCAGGGACCAAATAAGAAGAACATCAGAAGAACCCAGCTGGATCAGGCTAGTGGCCCCTCTAACTTGAGCACCCTGTTCTCACAGTAACCAACCAGATGCCCAGTTACCAGCAGCTGGTATTCACAGTGGCATAGCGTGTGTTGCCAGTGCCCAGGGTGTCTGCATCACCCAGCAGATTGCAGCTGCAGAGATATGGAAAGAAGAGTTGTTCTGTTGTCTGGAGAGGTCACTTCCTGGTTCTCATGGAGAAGCCATTTTTAATGAAGCCCAGCGATGGAAGCACACAGCTGTATTGAGGCAGCACCGGGTGTTGAAATTTTGCCCCCCCTAACAATTATGTGCCCAGGGCGACTGCCACTAGGTATTCAGAAGCATTACTGCCTCCAATCATTGAGGCAGAGCACAGCCATTGTAGCTAGTCACCACTGCTAGCTTTATCCTCCATGAATTTGTCTAATCCTCTTTTAAAGTCATCCCAGTTCCTGGCTATCACCACCTCTTGTGAAAGTGAATTCCATAGTTTAACCACGCACCATGTGAAGAAGTACTTTCCTGAATCTTCCAAACTTAATTCTGTAAACTGCCCTAGAATCAAATTTGATGAAAAGCAGTATAAAATGGTTTTAACTGTCTCAGTAAATAAAAATAAGAGTGAGCTTTCAGATATCTGCGAATTGTGGGCACTTGTTTTTCTGCACATCAAGAATGATCTGTGGTTTGTGGTCCCTTTAAATTGCCCTTACCTTGCAGTACAGCAGTGAGAGGAAGCTAGAAAATGCTTGCTATAGAGGAGGTGAGGAACAGTGCCTGTTGCCAGGCAGAGTTGGAATCTGGGTCTTCTTCATGAAAAGCGCCAGCAAAAGACAGAGTGGTTTTGATTTTCAGCTGCTCTTTACTTTCATCCCTGCAGCTTTTGGGTAGAACTGGTGGAGAAATGAAGCTAAGTGTGAGGGCTGAGCTCTCATGCAAAAATAAGACATGGATAATGTAAGGCAGGATTTATAAACCAACCCCCCCCCCATGGTTAATCTATTGTAACTGATCATGTGGATGGGGCAACTCACCTATGCATAAAGATTGCAGCATTTGAGATGCTTTAGTTTAGAGAAAAGGCGAGCAAGCAGTGATATGTCTATAAAACTATGCATGGCATTGCAAAAGGGGATAAAGAAAAGTTCTCTCTCTCATAACTCATGGGCATTCAATGAAGCTGAATGTTGGAAGATTTGGGAAAGATAGTAGAAAGTATTTCTTCAGAGTGCGTAGTTGAACTATGGAACTTGTTCCCATAAGCAGCAGTGATGGCTACCAACCTAGATGACTTTAAAATGGAATTCATGGAGGAGAGGGCTATCAATGGCTACCAGCACTGATAACTATGCTCTGCCTCCAAAGTTGGAAGCAGTAATGCTTCTGAATACCAGTTGCTGGAAACCACAAGACAGGAGAGTACTTTTGTGTTTGAATCCTGTTTTCCCACTAGGATCTAAGTGGCCACTGTGAGAACAGGATGCTGGCCTAGATGAGCCGTTGGCTAGGGTTACCAGACGTCCCCGTTTCCCAGGGACAGTCCCCGGATTTGCGAATAAGTCCCCGGACAAATTCCATCCCTGGAATGTCCCTGGATTTCATCTAATGTCCCCAGGAAACATAGCAGTGGCAGTCTCAGCAGTCCAGAGCAGTTGGCTCTGGCTGGCTTCGAGAGCTGCTTGGAAGTCCCCATATGACGGTGGTGCAGGGCTCTAAGATGCAGCTTCCAGGCTGCCTCCACCTTCCCTGACCCCAGCAACTAAGCTGTAAAGGGGGGCTTCATGCTGCCTATCGGACCAGCCTCCCAACTCCTACTTGCGTGCGAGCAGGAGCAGAGTGGGGATCTCTCAGTTAGGCAATGGGAAGCCTCCCTTCCCAGCTGAGGGATCCCCACCCCCTCCTGCTTGCACACAAGTAGGAATGGGATTGGGGCTGCTTCGATGGAAGGGAGGCGGAGCCTCACCACCACCACCACTCTCAGCCCGCCTTGCATGCCTGACCCACCGCGCACCACTTCCCTACCACCACCACCACCAAAGAACCAACAACTCAGGGGCTGCCCAGGCTCATGAAGAAAGGAGATAGAAGCCTTGGAGGAAGGGAAAATGTGGTGGTTGAGGTCAAGGCGGCAGCTGCCCCTCTGCCACCGCCATTGCAGCAGCATCAACGTCCCGACCATGTAGTATTTATTTATTTATTTTTATTTATTTATTTAAAGTGTCCCCAGATTCACTGAAAAAAATCTGGTAACTTTACCACTGGCATAATCCAGAAGGGTGATTTTATGTAATTTTATTTAAACTCTGCACTGAAACCTAGGAAATTGTTTTAGTTTTGTGTTCACACAGGATTGAAATATTAACATGATACACATTGTTCGATTCAAACTACTATCATGCAAGACCATTGCACCAATTGCACTGCTTTGTATTGATCCCTAGACAAAAGCTACATTAAGGAGCTCTTGGAGAATGGAACCATTAGTAATTTAAAGCACCACTTGTAATTTACAGTACGACATACTTAAGACTGATTCAGATGTTCTCCAAGGGCCCTTTTCCCCCATGCTGGATCGTGCTATCTGTCATGCATGAAGCCAATTGTACAACAGGAATTGGTCACTCACCTCTTCTTCCTTGCACAAGTTGTTGTGAGCCATCCCAGAACATGAGGCAAGTTGAAAGGCAGATTTATACAAACGTCTTAAAACAAAATCAATTAATTTGCATTGACCTCTTTCTCACCTTTCCTCAGGCCAGACTGAGGTAATCGTCTCAGGCAGAAGATACCAGGGGACAGCAGTAGAAGACCCCCGGCCATTCCTGCTGAGTCTCCTGGCCACTCCCTTCTCTTGGAGAGCAGAGTTCTGTTTACTACACATGTTGTGTACCCAATAAGGTGGCCTGCTGTCCTCAGGTGTTGAAAAATACTACCCTCTGGCAGGATAGAAATAAGATTCAGCTATGAGTCCAGTCAGCTTCTGTAAATTTAATACCCAAGCACCATCTTCTTGTCCTTTATCTCAGCCAACACAATGACTTCGGCCAGCCCTCCATTTACCCTGCCTCTTCTATTCTTCACTCCGGATGCTGTTTATTTTTCTTTCTGGAATTGCATTTTACCAACATCTACACTGCCTCTATTGGCTTCCATTGCAGGTAAGGTATTTATCTTCACCCCAGAGGCCAACTTGAACAGGTGAGTGGGATCACCCAGTTAAAGTTGACCCACAGATACAGGGAAGATCATTTCAAAGTAGGATTTTACTCCCTACTCAACAGCTGATGTGTGGTTGTCCTAGCTTGGGTTCCAGGTTCCAGGGGACCTTCCAAGGCTATCATGGGCACTGACATGAGCAACAATTCCCAACAAGCCATGGTTGGAACAAGGACTCGGGTAACAGGCAAATCAAGGGGCAGCCCAAAATCCAGGCAAGCAAACTGCCAGATAAAAACACAGCACTGGTAGTAAGACATTGTTCTTCCAGCGTATCATTGAGGCTTTTAAGCTGGAGCTGCCAGTACCCCACCCTGGGCCCAGCTGTAGCGTCTTAGGTGACTCTGCAGGGAGTCCTCCTTGTGAGGAGGGCTCTACTGCTGAGTAACCCTTTATTCAGAAGCAGCTTCTTCTCCTTGAGCCTCTCCTCCTTTTGCCTTCTTATTGTCTCCTTTTCCATACCCTGGTGGCTTTGCCTTTTGAAACTGACAGCCTAAGGGCAGAGTTTGTTCCTCTAAAAAATCAGTTATGGCATAGTGCTTTTTCTGAGGCACTTCATGAATAGAAACATGCGAAGATCAGACCAAAGTTCTAACTAGTCCAGCATCCTTCTTCCCACAGTGTCTAACCACATGCCTCCAGCAAATGCAGAAGAAGAACACGAAGGCAACAGCCCTCTCCTGCTATTGTGCCTTTGGCAACTGGCAATTATTTAGCGGCATACTTTCTCTGCATCTGGAGGTAACTTACAACAGGGGTGGGGGATATTTCTAGCCTGGTAGACCAGATTGATAAGTTCACTACCCTTTGTGGACCCAAACTGAGAGGTGGATGGA